TAGTTCTCTGATCGAGGTCACCAATCAAGCGCACTCTATAACGATTCACAGCAAAAGCAAAAGCATAGACTGGGTTTGGTATAGTGGAAAAATATGTTTGAGAATATTTTCTGCAATACAACGCAACCACATTATTTCAGATAAGCCCGAATATTGAACATAATTGGCCGAGGCAAGAATTTTATCCCTCCAATATTGTCCAGTCATTTCTTATAGAAAATGCATCAAATAGTCATAGTACATAACATCAATCGCTAGCTAACCCTGACTTTCTTTCTTTCTTTGTTTTTTTTTTTTTTTTGGTGAAGCTAACCTTGACATGTTTTTATATATGCTAATCCATCTTTCCACTCATACACACACAAATACTGTCGCCGCGCAAATCACCATATTCTCGTGCCACGAATTATGTTGGAATCTCTTTTTTCTTTTCTTTTTTTTTTTGGTGGAGTTTCCATCATCACTGCATCGTGTATAGTTCCTCAATTATGGACCCTTGTGTGCGATTTGATATGCTGATTCCTGACCGCGTGATTTTGACCTCTTCAACATCCAAGAACTCCAAAGACAACTTCTGATATAATTCTCCATCGTTCTTGTTAACAGAACTTTTGAAAAAGAAGTTACAAAATGATCAAATTTTGATTTTGATCACAATAGTTAGTCTTTCACGATATGTTTTATTAGTGAAATAAAAATCTACTTAATGTTGTTTCTTTATATCAATTAAAAAGAGAATGCCAGTAACTACATCAACACATGTGAAGCACCAGTGTTTTGAAATTTGAATTAGACGATCCAACCGTTGATTGTTCAATACAACAACTTGATTCAATTATTTGAACTATTTGAACATTTGGACTAGATTGACTCGGATGATTTTAAGAAAATCAAAGTTAACTTGAAAACTGGAATAGGTCAACCCAATCAAAAGCTTAAAAAATATAAAAAAGAAAAAAAAAAGAAAAATTTAGGCTCAGTTGCTTAAATTTGTGATTTATCTTCTCTAATATCCAATTCTCTTTTTAATTTATAATCTCTTTTCTACAACCTAGATTTAATCTCTAACATCTCCTCTAACCTTTGCCTTTATCTCTAGCTCTTCAACCTTTGACATCAAGATTGAACGCATGCGAGTCATAACATAATGACATGCTTCTAGCTCCAGTGTTTTACTTTGAGATTGCAAGCTCGTGGCAACACACGCCTCTGCCTCTAACTCTGGTTGTCCAAGTATTTAACCTTTTAGCATTGAGATCCCTAGCACTATGTAAATGGCTCACGGGTCAACCTGCGTGGACTGACATTTTGGCGGTTAGGTTGGGCTAGCCTGTCAGATAAACATGTTGAAAAACTCAACCCAACCCGTTGACTGACAGGTTAGGCAACTCGTGGACTAGCCCGCAAAACACACACAAATATTTAGCAAAAAATCTAAAGTTTATATACATATTTATGTACTCTAATAACTCTTTCTTTTTTATTTTTATCTTCATTTTTTATTTTAATATAAACCAAATTGTGTGAATTTTGTTTTTTACTTCATTAAAACAGAATATATTTATAAGCTATCCTCAAATTACTCCCTCACTCATAGACACCTAATCAGGTTAAAGAAAAATGATATAAATGCAGTTTCTCGATTCTTCTCAAAATATTTAATCTACCTCATTCTTATTATTCTAATTATTATTGCAATTATTTAGATAATAATTATTTATTGAGCTTAAATCTATACGTGTTCTCAACTAGTTAGCCAGGATTATTTTTATATTATATAAAATATATATGCTCGAAGATTCTTTTTGACCCCTTCATTTATTAACCTTAACTAAGAGTTAGGCAATTAGCTATATCTATACACACATTTGCTTGATCTTGATTATTTTTATATTTCACACTTAGGGTTCATGCAAATCCAAAATTAAGAAATTCAGCATCTAGCTTTGAATCATGTTCATAATAATTAATTAGATGAAAATAATTAATTCAACTTATACATAGAATTGATCTGATCAAATGGTTCAAAAAAACAAAGTTAGAAAGCTCAATCCATGCCAAAGCAGTCTAATGCTTTAGCAATTTTTTTTTTTAAAAAAAAAAAACAGGCTAGCAAGCCAACCTATTTACCCACATACTTTTATAGTTCGAGCTAACCTAACTCATTTTTTAAAATGGGCTCATTTTGCCGACCCAACTCACAAAAAATTGCAAGCTAAAGGGCTTGCCTATTAGATTGAACTTGTTTGCCCAATTTTAAAGGTCTCAAATACAATCAACACATTAATATTTTATTTATTTATTTATTTATTTATTTATATAAATATTATTTTTTTATTTAATTTTTATGTCATGTGATTGAATCATAAAAACCGCAACGCATCTCTGAAAAGTACTAAGTTGCGCCCCAAAATTCACCAATTAAACGTGCACATACATGGTTTTATTCATATTAGTTCAGAAATGCGTAGCAGTCAAAACGTGGAAGTACAATACTGGACTTGTTCGCCACGACTGTCCTCTCGAGAAGAGTGCTTTGGCGTTACTTGGAACCTGGAAGTACGTACTTAAAAACAAGATTGGACAAACTAAAACAAGTGTTTCCCCTCTGGCCGAATCAAGAGGAGCTGCTTTTTTGGTAACGGAAGAAACGGCCTGATCGTAGGTGTCAAAGATATAGAGTGCCTTGCTTTTGGGATTTTTTTTCCTTGTTGGAAGAGTCACGGTAATTAAAATCGACAGAAAAAGTTCGCTAATGTCGGCCCTCCCCTGGTTTGGCATCCAGAAGAGTGGAGGGGACAGCAAAGCAAAGATCCAAAATGGCTGTTCAACCAGTTACTTCATATATAAGAAGTTTTTTTAAAAAAATTATCTTTAAATATAAAAAGTTATTACCATATTTTTTTAATAAATAAATTATTATACTTTTATTGCATTAAAAAAAGAAAAAAAATAAATATTTTTATTAATTTACTTTTAAAAAGAGATTCATTTTTTATTTATAATAATTATAAGTAAAATTAAAATGTTACTGTAGTTTTAATTAAATAAATATTTTTCTACTAATTTATATAGTTTGGTTAAAAGTATCTTATATATAAAAAAAAAAGTTAAAAACAGAGGGAGTAGATAGCAAATTCCAATAAACATCAGCCATGGCCAATTTATGAACTTGTGCTCTCCAGCTATATGTCACAATCTTTGTTTAGAAAGAGAAGAAATCATAAGGTTACGGTGTTTTTGGAGGCATTCAGGATGGTGCAGAGATTTTCAGGAGAATTCAGGACGTTTAATGAGAATCTAGTATATTTTAGAATGTTCTAAAAGCATTTAGAATAGTCTAGAATAATTTAGAAAAATCTAAAAGTTTCTCGAAGGTTCTAGAAACTTAGAGAGAAATGTGAAGATGTCTATAATATTTTAGGATATTTTAAAATATTTTAGAACATTCCACACGTATTTTAAAAATTAATCTAGAAATATCTTTATAAATATTTAGATATTTGTATGGAACACTCTAGAGGATGAATGTAAATTGTAAGATTAGATTGATCTTTACCGTCCATTAAGGAAGTGAGAATTTTCTAAAAAAAGGAAAAGGTTTATAAATACCCCTACAACCCTTTATTTGTAAATAACAAGAAAAGTAATCAAAGTTTTAAGCTCTCAACTTCTCTCATCCAAGCTTTCTTTTTTTTTTTTGTATTCAAGTTTTCTAATTTTTTTACCAACATTCTAAGAGTTCGCCTAACTTAACAAAGATCAATAGGTTAATCACGCTAAGGCTGACATGGTTTAACAAAGATCAAGGCCGTGACATATAGCTGACATTTATTACGTGTGTACACTGTGGATACAGCCAACTCATGGCCGAGTTCTGGTATTACTGGTCATTAAATGAGAACTAGATCTTACCCGTTATTTTCTAGCTTCAACTGCTAACTGCGCATTAATGGAGCCCCCGGCTAGCATTCACGATCCAGAAACGTAGTTCAAGCTTATATACGGTAAATGCCTCTCTCTCTCTGTTTTTTTTTTTAAGGCAATTTTATTGACTCTGACCTGCATGAATTGATCAGTGCTTCGTGGGTCATGTGCATATAACTCTTCACCACGTTGATATCTACCCAAAAGATAAAAAGGTAAAAAATTCATTAGGCACTAGGACTAATTAATGATGCAAAAGAGGAAAATTTGAAGTTGAATTAGTTTGGTGTGCGATGATGAAAATGTAAAAAACTAAAAGAGAGCAGAAAAGAAGAAGGGGGGAATAATCAAGTAACATGAGAGAGAGGGCATGCATGGTGGCTTAGTCAGAGGGATTTCGAGAACCCATAATGGCTACTACAAGGATGGCGTCCAAATGGATGGACCAAAACCTAAAATCCGAGTGTGGGGACACTTTGGTTCCACAACCACACCAGAATCTGCCACCTTCAATGGTTCATAGCCCTTCCAAAAATTCCACCCCTTCAACCCACCTATCATCTTAAACCTCCCAGCTCTCCCATTAACTCTTGCTTTTTCTATTTTCTCTATTAATTTTTTCTCAGCTCTCTTGGCCTTTCTCTAAAGCACCTCAGCTCCATGTCCGTCGCTTTTTCTGCAAATTCCTCAACCTATAATCGATTTACACGTGCCATCCCTCCCTTTGACTTCCATCGCCTCCTCCCTCTATTTAACCCACTATCGTTCTTCCCCAAACGCACTATCACGCCTTCTTCCCTTCTCTCTTCGATCTTCATATATTTATATATATGAGTGTCTCTGCTGGACGCTTCCATTATAGTTGAGCTAGCCAAACCAAACACATCAACTTTTTTCTCTTTGACATGGCTAGCAATAATCATCATCATCAGTATCAGAAGAATGCCATGTACGTAGAAACTCCGGAAGCGTTTGGCGATGGAGGCAAGAACTTCGACGACGACGGACGAGTCAAAAGAACCGGTACTTCTTTTGATATATATATATATATATATAATATCACCGGTTACGCTGGTGTTTGAGAAGAATTTTCACTTAAATTTTGATTTTGATTGTGAAGGGACGTGGGTGACTGCGAGTGCCCACATCATAACGGCTGTGATAGGCTCTGGTGTGCTGTCACTGGCTTGGGCAATAGCTCAAATGGGATGGGTGGCTGGGCCTGCCGTCCTCTTTGCCTTCTCTTTCATCACCTACTTCACCTCCACTCTTCTTGCTGACTGCTACCGTTCACCTGACCCCGTCCACGGCAAGAGAAACTATACTTATTCCATGGTTGTCAGATCCATCCTAGGTATAATTTAATCATCATTATCTAACACTCTACTACTTCTTGAGTTCCAAGACTGGCACATCTCTGACTCTCCAGTGTCACTTTTTACAGAGGAGAACTTTACTCACTTATCATGTGATTTTGTTACATTATTAATTCCCAATATTCCTTCTACAGGAGGTAGGAAATTTCGGCTGTGTGGATTAGCTCAGTACATTAATCTTATAGGCGTGACCATCGGCTACACGATAACTGCGTCAATTAGTATGGTGTAAGAATTTCCGCACAGACTATTGACTCAGTACTGGTACAGACTATATAATTAATAAGCGACCGTATATGTAAATTAATATATTTTCTCTCTCTCTTTCTGTATGTTGTGGTGATAACGAAACAGGGCAGTGAAAAGATCGAACTGTTTTCACAAACACGGGCATCATGAGAAATGTTATATATCAAACAACCCTTTTATGATCATGTTTGCGTGCATCCAAATCGTGCTCAGCCAGATACCAAACTTCCACAAGCTCTGGTGGCTCTCTATCGTCGCAGCCGTTATGTCTTTTGCTTATTCTTCCATTGGCCTGGGACTCTCTATAGCTAAAGTCGCAGGTTAGTGAAAAGTGAAAACTCCCCAACTTTTTGCTGGTTTTTGTTCTTACATCTTTCCGTATACTGGAATCTCTAAAAGGTGGTAAATGGTCCTGCCGGTCGAAGTCTAATAATCATATTTGGTCCGTGCTATGAAAAAGGTGGGGAACACGTACGAACATCTTTAACGGGAGTGCAAGTTGGTGTGGACGTGACGGGATCAGAGAAGGTTTGGAGGATGTTCCAAGCCATCGGAGACATTGCCTTCGCTTATGCTTTTTCTAATGTTCTTATCGAAATCCAGGCAAGTCATATGCTTCTTCTTACCATCGTAGTACTGATATATGCTAATTTACCCCCTTGACAAGATGCCCATGCACTGCATGTGACATCCGTCTCGATAATTGACCGAAGTAGAGTGGCAGATACAGAGCAACTTAATTCATTAATATTTAGGGTGATATATACATTGAGGCCAGAAGTAACAACACGTAAGTCATTCGTAAATAAAGGGGGTATCTCTTTCTTTTGTGATAATATAATAATAATATCATGGTGCATGATCATTAATTCACTCTTGTATGCTGGAAGCTTTTAGATTTGACCTACGGCATTAGGTAAATTAATTATAATACACTTCAATTACGAGATCCAACAATCTTAACAAGTTCTATGTCTATATAAAATCCATGGATATACAATGTTCTGATATAATAAATTTAATGAAATTAATTAGAAATTGTTTTTAAAATATTAGACCAGTCATACTTAAAGTTTATAAGTTCCTCAAATTCAAACCGTGATGTGTCATGGGAGTTTAGTATAAGTGGCTTTAAGTAATACTCAGCACCTGTTATCTGTATTGAGTTAGGTATGGTGCATTTCCTCTGGATATAATATCGTCTGTGGGTTCTTTAAGATCATGGTTGAGAGTTAGCATATTAAGCATGAAAGACTTCTACTGTGTGGCCAAGTCGCCGACTTGAATTGACATAGTGGCCGCCGATTACTGCCAATGAACCAAAAATTGTAGATTTTCTGTTTCCTCAGCACTGTCATGAAAACGACTGAGAAGACCCTTTGCATAAATTGGCCACTAAAAGGGTTATTGCCATTCGAAAGAAGTGGCTCCGCTTAATGGTTTAATCACAGAAACTCACTATTTATATAAAGATCGAATTAATTCCGTTGGAAAGATGAGGTTTAGAATACAGGTGATCGTTTTTTAACTAATTTATTTTTCCTCCACTTCAGTATCGGTTGAATTTGTGCTTAACAGAAAGTTTAATAGTTAGATGTCTCTTCATCTTCCTTTATTCTACTTTTCATCAGAAAGTGGAGGGGGAAAATGCAAATCAAACCTTTGCATCTAGTCCATGGTCTATATTGCCGCACCTACCTAGCCATAGCTAGTTAGGATTCCTTGCATACATGGACCATCAAATCGATGAACCACTCTTCCGAATGCTACTTTTTATGAAAAATAATATAGTTTTATTTTACAACAGTAGAATCCTACCTTATTCTGTTCCAAGCACCTCTGTCCACCATTCTTTTGGGCTCATCTCAATCATCTGCCAAGACCAAATTTCTCCCAGTGGATTGTCTCATCATGGGTAGGTAGTGCAGAAAAATGCAATCATTAATCTCTTAGTTTTAACATATTTTATTTTTAATTCCTATATTTTTTTTAATATTTTCAATCTTTAAAATTATAGAGACTTAAATTATAAACGCATTCAATCTGATTAAAATAATAGAAACCCATAACTTTAAAAAAATTATATGAATTAAGAGTAAAACTCATTGAAACTATAGGATGTATTTTCTTTAAATACAAAATAAATTTGAGTTTGTGAAACACGGACATGATCCCGCCTGATGAAATGGACGCAGATAAACTATCTGCATGTCAAAGATATATTGTAAGAAAATCTCGAGTTTATCATGCATTATCAAACCTAATTCTATTTCGATGTAGAATCTACCCTTGACATCTTAATTATTGCTTCAACTATTCCACACAGGAGAAACCCCCGAAAAACATTAAAATTATAAAATATTACACGGGCTATGTTAAAGCACTGATCAAGAGTTGCGTAATCACATGCAATACACTTGAGCACTGGCTTTAGAATAATTAATGACATGTGAAGAGTTATGGAGCTTAGCTTTCAAGCATAGTGATAATGGGGGACCACATGATTTGACTGCTGCAGGATACCCTCAAATCAAGCCCTCCAGAAAACAAAGTAATGAAGAAAGCAAGTTCGATCGGCATCTTCACCACGACCATATTCTATGTGCTGTGCGGGTGCGTAGGTTACGCAGCATTTGGAAATGACGCACCCGGAAACTTCCTCACAGGGTTCGGCTTCTATGAGCCCTTCTGGCTCATTGACTTTGCCAACGTCTGCATCGCCGTCCACTTAATCGGAGCATACCAGGTCGATCATTGCGCAATCATACATAATTAATTACAAGTAACGCACGCACGTTACGGTATATTTACCAAACTTAGCTTTTCATGGGCATGCAGGTGTTTTGCCAGCCCATATTTGGGTTCGTGGAGAACTGGAGCAAGGAAAGATGGGGCGAGAGCAAGTTCGTAAATCACGAGCATGCTCTGAACATTCCATTGTGCGGGACGTATAACTTGAACTGGTTCAGGTTAGTGTGGAGGACTGCTTATGTGGTGGTGACGGCGGTGATAGCGATGATGTTCCCGTTCTTCAATGACTTCTTGGGGCTCATTGGGTCGCTCTCGTTCTGGCCATTGACGGTTTACTTCCCGACAGAGATGTATATTAAGCAGTCGAATATGCGGAGATTCTCCTTCACGTGGACTTGGCTCAAGATATTAAGCTGGGCCTGCTTGATCGTTTCCATCATCTCTGCTGCTGGCTCCATCCAAGGCCTTGCTCAAGATCTCAAGAAGTACCAGCCCTTCAAACCTCAACAATGATCGTTTGCATGCTTCATCAATTAATATTCAGATTCAAGTGCTATATGTGTGTGTGTGTGTGTGTGTTTATAGCTTTCTGTTCTATCACCTTTAATAAATAGCTACCTAGGTATATTAGTCCATGGATAATTAATTAATGTTATCAAATGTTCCTCTGAATGCAACGCCTAGCTGCAGCATATTCAAAAAAGCAAAGATAATCCTTAGTAATTTGAAATAATTAAATGGAGCGATAACTCGTATCTCCAGCTGCTAGTCACTGCAATTGGAATAAGACTGTGTGTAATAACTATGGCAACGCAAATATAGCACTCTAAAAGATGCAAGCGAGCCTTTAAATCAGATCGTCCACTACTTCCGATTGACACGGAGATATATGCATGCTGTTAGTTATATGCCGTGTGTCAATATACAACAAGTGTCACGGAAAATGTCAAATATTATGCTGTATTTGAAAATGTCAAATGTTATTCTATATTTTTCTTTCCTTCAGTCAACATTAGACTGAATGGCTGATTAAAACTACTAGGAAAAATAAAATCAAAGTTCTGGAAATTCAAAAGAACCACACAACTTTGACATCAGAACGTGAAAAACTAAAGAAATGATCAAAAGAGTTCCTAATTAAAACCTTGCTATAATAATATTACATGTAAAAGAGAAACCACATTTTCAGTGCGTTCTTAATTTCATTCACGCTGATCTCCCCGCGTGGAAAGGCTCTCGTTCCATTAAAATTAAAAAGGAATAATAAGTTCCGTGGGGTTTGGAAAGTGGGATTGGACTTGAAGTGTAATGATAAGCAAAGAATATTAATATTGAATAAAAATGGGTGACTTGGGAGCAGGGACGTCCACTAAAATCTAATCAACTTCCCATTCACATTGCACGTTCCTCATTGGTAGCCATTCCTTTTGCACGCCTCAAGGTTGGAAATTTGTCACCCACCTTATATATTCACTCTTCTCCAATTATTAAATTAGAGAAGGTAATGCAAACAATATTTACACTACTGTCAAACAATACTGAAAATAATAAAAATTAAATTTAATAGTAAAGCGCAATTTAAATTATCTCCTTTATAATGAGGGGGTTTTTTATGACCAAATTAATTTAAAAAGCCAAATTAAAATTAAATAATTAAAATAAGTTTAATTGACAAAATTATCAAATATAAGCAGTACAATCAATTATGACTCAATCACTTAAATTTAATCTCTCTCGTTCATAAAATAAATTTATTTTATTTTATTTTATTATTTTAATTCTATTATATATTTTTTAAATTATGATTCTAGAATTAAATAATAAATAAAGTTATAAATAATCACCCAAGCTATGTCAAATCATTTTTATATTATTATATAATTGATTATAGCAAGTAAAACCTCAAATAAAATTTATAATTCAATAATTATGTAACAAAACTACTATAATCAACAATATCAATTAAAATAAAATTTAAAATAAAAAAAGAATAAAATAACAAATTAAAATAAAGTTAAAATAAATTTTTTTCTGAATATTAAAAATTTTGATTAAAATTTAAGATAATGATTTGTGATTTATCATATCTAAAAATTAACCCTCCATAAAATTAAAAATCAAACAGCACCCAGCAGGCCATCGCCCAACGTATTTGAGAAGCACGTCCGCCTCTGCTCCTCCTCATCTGTTTCGCCAATTTCAATTCCCAGTGTCACGATTTCTTATGCCCGGCGACCTCTCTTGTATTCAATTCACAGAGTGATTTTTGCGGCCATGTGCTCCTCTCCTCAGAAAATTCAAACCCAATAATTTAATGAGAATAACAAAACTACCTTAAATACATTTAATTGAAAAATATATTAAAAAATCAAAATAAATATAAATAAAGTTTTAAATATTTAATTCTTGACTTAATTTTCAAGTATGCCCATATTCTTTTTATTTGAAATAGTTTCTATTAATATCTTTTAAATTGGATCTAGAAGATATAGATAGTTAAAATCTAAAAGTTGAAAATTGACTAATAAAATTAAATAATATTCAATTAAATTCAATTAGTCTCAAATAAATATTTAAAAGCCTAAATTAAAAGGACAAAATATATAAAATTATCATTCACCATATCTATATATTTATTTATTTATAGGTCCCACAAGTTGCATAATAATTGGCTTTCAGGTCTCTCAAGTGAAACATAGCTTTGATACAACTTGTTAGATTATGTAAATATGAGTGTACTTAAAATGATGCATGTGGGAAGTCTCTCATTGAATAATTTTGGATTTCAAACATGCACCAAAACATGTTTTCAGGTCTTGGGCAAACCAGGTTCTAACAAAGGAGAAAAGATTAACTAGAAGACATCATATCTAACCTAAAGCCTCAACGCTTGAGTTAATGGGTCATTTTTTTTATTATATATTAGTTATTAAGTTCAATTTTATTTAATGTGGAACTTCTTATATTGTTTTTAGTTCACTCACACCTTCAAGTGTGAATTCACAAGCTCTACATATCAAATATGCCCCTGAATATCAAGTCCATGCACCAACAATCAAGGCCTTCCTATAACCAAGGTTAGTCACATTTTGGACTTCAAATATGTGCACAATAAAAGGCTTTTAAGTTTTGACAAGACTTGAACTTATACTACTTGATAAGTTGTTCAAGTATAAGTATACTTAAAATGATTCCACAAAGGATAATTTTGAGCTTTAAACGTGTGTGTAATAACAAACTTTTAAATCTTAAATGAAATTAAACTCTAATACCACTTTATTATGAATGGAAAGCAACCGCTCAAATTAATTAGTTAATAAAATATTAACCTTCGTCTTTCAAGTATATTTGATCCCTACGGCCAATTTTGTTTCTAACTAAGTCCTTTTTATCAATTTTTTCAATTATATTTGAGTACTTTTTTGAGTTTGAAAATTTAAAATCTCACCCATACAAATATTTCAAACTTGATAATCCAAATAAGATCAGTTCTGTGATTACTTTGGTCTTTGATATTAATGGTGGACTCATAACGGTGACCGTACAAAGAATAAAATGATGAAATTGGATTCTGAGGATCGCTTTAAGAAGCAAAGGAAATGGCATTTGGTTTTATTACTTAAAGAGGACAAGGAGCTCACTTTTGCAAGTGACTTATATGCCTACTGAATTGAAACTCACCCTTGTGACTGTGAGTATGAAAGGAAGGGGAAGGGTGGAGGGTTGGAGGCTAAGGAAGGAAGGAAGGAAGGAAGAAGACGCATAGATGTGGAACTCTAGAACATTGAAGCGAAGGAGGAGAATAATGCCAATGAAAACGATTGAGGTAGGACATCATCCCAGAGATTGAAAATTTGTGGGTCCCATAAATTTGGGTGGAATAAATGAAGGTTACCACCAAATGGATGGAAAGTGGTAAATGCTACATCTTCTACTAACGATGAATTTTTTTTATACTATTCTATAATATAGAATACTAAATAGTTATTGAAAAATAATTCGTGACTAAAGTTATATTTTTATTTAAAAATAAATGCTTGTTGGGATTTATATATGGGAGAATTATTTTAAGGACCCATCTAAGACAATTAATCACTCCTAAATCCATTGATAACTAAGTTTAAGAAAATTACGACATAATGTATTGTCATTTCCTTGAGCTTGATTGTTAGTAAACTTTCGAGTAATTAATTGTCTTGAATGGGACTTAGATAAAAATTTTCCTTTATAAATCTTACAATGCTAGTTAGGATTTACCCCCTCCATTAAAAAATATAAGGTATTTTTAATCAAATCTCATCTCTTAATAAAGTAGTTACTTACTTTCAAACTAACCTTATCTTTCTATATTTATCCTTATTAAACATCCTACAATAAATATAAAGTCATTCATCAATAGAGGCACTTTTAAAAAAAAGGCAATGATTATATCTCAACAGACTAAAAAATACTTTCCATTTTTAAACATTTAACTCCTCAAAAAATATTTTATATTTTTAAACGTGTAAATTTTATTCTTATAATAATGATTATATTTCCAGGATATTTTGATTGGACTCGGCCATAGTCCCTTGGCATCATAAACTACTTCTTCATGCAAGTTCCAATTGTACTTGTTTCTTTGGTTTGGAGTTGGAATTAAAAAAAAAAACACACACACACACACACACAGAGTTTGAATCTTTGTGGGACTGTGAGCTGCGACCCAACTTGACTCTTCAGGTTTGAAGTTAACCAAAGTCATTAATTTTCTAAATAAAAGCACCTCAATTTTTATTAACGGAATTGAATCTAGTAGAAAAGAGATTAATACTTCATAATTTAAATAATTTTTGCTATATATGTTCCAACGACTTGTTCCCAGGTCTAGAACATGTTCCAACAATTTTTCACGCAAGTCTGAGTGAAAAAAAATTGTTATAAAAAATTATTTAATTCTTTTTAACCAGGACAGTTTTTTAACCAACTGGTTCGGGAATTGCTTTGTCAAACGACAGCTTTCGTGGAGCCCTTTTTGTTTTTTCGGGAGGGGAATCCCACGGTCTTTTGACGACATCATTTCCAATAGACAGTTGTCTTCTTGAATCTTAATGCCTTGTTTGTTAACAAGAAGTTGGTATGGGAGAAGTGAGAGTGGAAGTGGAACCAATAAAATTATGCGTTTGGTACTATAGAAGTTGGTTCTCCATGGAGCCTGGTTCAATCAATTGGGCTCCATGCCTTACCCTATGATAAAAGCACGGTCCTGAAATGGAAAAGAAACTAGAAACAGAAAAGAAGGAGACAAGGAAGAAGAGACAGAGAAGAAGGAGGCGAAGGAAGAGAGAGAGATAATTCCACTTATGCCATAATGGTTTTGCGGAAACGCAGGCACATACAAAAGCTCCAGCAGTATGTGCCTATGAAAAGACAAACAAGGACAAAACAATAATATAAAAGACAAACGTATCCTTTCTGCACATAATATCATATCAGTGCTTCCCCCTTAACATCCTTATCTTCAAGGATGATGAGCCCGTGCAAAAGAAGGAAACCGAGTTGCAATATCCACCCAGAATTCCCATGTGGCAGCATCTGGAGAGTCATCTTTCCAATGAACTAAGACTTGAGTCACAGCACGGTGTTGACGTTGAACCATGCGATGATCAAGAATAGCATATGGTTCTCGGGCT